ATTTCCAGTGTTATTATTATTACACTGTTAAATTACTCGTTCAGTTTTCTTATCTATTCCAGTAGGGCCTTGACCTGACCTCGTCACTACTCTACCGAGGTTAGGCTTGGCACTTATTGGGTACCGTTATGGTGTACTCATGCTACGCTTCTGCATATTTTTTTGTGCAGATCCAGGTACCTCTTACCAATTCAGGCACTAGCGAAAGCTCAGCTTAGGAGACTTCAAGGTATGCATGTCGGCGTCCGCAGACCTTGGAGTCCCCATCTACCTAGTCTATTTCATTTCCTTATCCTTTTATAGACAGTGATGTATAAAGGTGTTCAGTACTATCTTATAGAGCTTGTGACTTGTATTCACCGGATTGTGGGAAGTTGTATATACTGAGTTGCGGAGTTTCTTTATATTAGTTGTTGAGTTTTTGAGACTTTAATCATTAATTCAGTTATTTCTGTATAAATGTTAGGCTTACCTAATCTTAGAGACTAGGTGTCATCACGACATCGTACGGAGGAAAATTGGGATCGTGACAACAACGTGAATTCAAAAATTAGGAATCGTTTCTAGATTTTTGCGCTAGTAAAGGTTCAAAAATTAAGAATCATTCCTGATTTTTTTACGAGTAATGATTCAAAGATTAGGAATCGTTCCTGGGTTTGAAATTTCAGCAAATTTCTTAATTTCAACACAGTTTACCGGGGTTCCACTTGTTAAAACTTCAACTCTAGTACCGATTGCTGGAGTTGTATTTCGTATTTTTATTGAGGGCAAAAACGTTAATTTAATCAGACCAATAACTATTTTGCTATTACAATTTAAAATATGGCTAAACTCTAATAGCCGGCCAAAAAGTGACCAATCCAGTTTTTTTTTTATGGAAAAAAGAAGTTGTTATGTCAACTGACACTATCTATTTATTAGTAGTATTACTCTATTGTGAACACAACGAAAAAAAAAAGGAATATAATCAAAATTTCTCCATAAAAATTTCCTTTCTCCTGCTCTGTTTTTGTCTATTATAGCAATTGATTATTATATATCTATAATATCATTTCTCATATTCATTTTTATTTAGATGTTAGAAATAAAAATGACCCAAAAAATATTTTTTCCAGTTTTATGTGATAAAAGATAAAAAGTGTTTGACGCAGGAGGGAAACTTCTAGTAGTAATTAAGTGGCAACGGGGTTTCAAACTAGTCCATCCTCTAGTTGGTACTCTTTTAATCTCAACAAAAAATCTCCTCATCCTAACATAATATTTTTCGGAATTAAATACAAATTTTAATCTCCAAATATGTACAAGTGTTTTATTTAAAGCTTTACATGAGTTAAATTAAAGATTGCTTTAGGTCATAGGTTTAAACCAACGAACAATTCGTATTGTATACCACATAAAAAGATACCACGGTATCATTACAAATTTTCTACGTATTTTATTTTATACCAACCAAATAATACACGAGTACGATCCAAAATGCATGAGATCAACAATGGAAAGCACGTAGAAAAAGTATGTACAACTGGTCAAAGACAAAGCCCCACCTGAATTAAGGGCTCTATTTCTTTCGTCCGCTTGACTATACTTTAACGCAATATGAACAAATGTGGATATCATTTGGTAATTAATTAATGTTTTCGCTTAATTTAGTAGATACTGTAATTAATTAATTTGGCAAATAGGGAAAGAAAAAGAATAAATTTCCGCGTAGAGAGATTAGGACTGGATATCAAGACTAGTCCCTTGAAGGAAAAAAAAATACTCTTTTTGAAATCTTGAAAAGAAGTAACATCACAAAGAAATACTATATATAGTAGTACTATTTTTGTTTGACAAATACACACATTGGATTCACATCACCCTTTCTTTTCTTCCTCCTTCATATAAAACCTTTTTTCTTCTCTATCCCCTAATCTTTTCTTTTCGTTTCCTTGCCATTTTGTTAAGTAAAACTTACCTCTTTTATTTTTCTACATATTTTTAATTCAAACAAACATATACTACATAATTTATACATCTAGGGTTGTTAATAATATGGAGGGTCAACCTAATCTTTATAATCAGTATCAGTTTATAAGTCAGCAAAATTTACTGAATATTGATACAAGTGGAGTTGGGGTTGGAGATAGGTTTCCACAATGGAATATTCAAGAAACAAAGGATTTTTTGATGATTCGAGGAGAGATGGACCAGAATTTTATGGAGACGAAACGCAACAAGCTTCTGTGGGAAGTTATAGCCACTAAAATGAAAGAAAAGGGTTACAATCGCAGTGCTGAGCAGTGCAAGTGCAAATGGAAGAATCTCGTCACTCGCTATAAGGTATTCTTTTCATTCATTTTATATGATCGTGTTTAACATTAACTCTGCACGAATTTTAACCAAAAAAAAAGGCCTTTTTAAAACATATCGAAAGTATCTTTAGAACTTATGATTTTGAGCACACGATATGAGATTTTTATGGTTATAAACAGCATGTGATAAGAGTAAAATGACAATTTGTTAAAGTTATATAACATTAAATTATAAAAAAGTGTCGTGGGCAGACTAAAAATGAAAAAGTGTTACTCCATATAGAATGGAAAAGGAGTATGCATTGATCGATTTTCATTAAGAAACAAGAAGAGAATTGATGGATTCTTTACTATGTTTCTTTTCTAAGAATGTTCATTAGTATAAGTAGTTTAAATTTTAGTATTTCATTTTGACTTTCATCTTGATAAAGAGACTTCAATAAATTCATAGGGTTGTTGAGTTTCTACGACTTTTTAAAAGTTCTTAAATGAAAGTTATTATTCGTCCTATATGTATTTCTAGGGTTGTGAAACAACGGAAGCGGAAGCTCTAAGACAACAATTTCCATTTTACAACGAGTTGCTAGCGATTTTTATGGAGAGAATGCTAAGAATGGAGGCTGAAGAGGAGGAAAATGATGAGGATAGTGAAGAAGAAAAAGGTAGTAATAAAAAGAAAAGAAAGCTTAAGGGAAACACAAGTAGTAGTCGCAGTAGTAATGTTGCTAGTGGGAATTTAAAGGAAATTTTGGATGAGTTTATGAAGAAACAAATGGAATTGGAAATGCAATGGCAAAAAGAATATGAAAGAAGGGAAGAAGAGAGGAAAATAAAGGAGATGGAATGGAGACAAACAATGGAGGCATTACAAAATGAGAGGCTAATGATGGAAAAGAGATGGAGAGAAAGAGAAGAGCAATGGAAAATGAGAGAAGAAGCAAGAGCTGAGAAGAGAAATGCCCTTATTACTGCACTTCTCAACAAGCTTAGAAGTGAAGATACAAGTGCCATAAGCTAGCTTATAAGCTACACTACTTTTCCTACAAATATTTTTTTGAGAGGTTGAAATAATTCCCTCCATTTAGAGGGTGGAAAAAATGCTCCATGCATGTTAATTCTCTTTTTTTTCTTTGCAATTTATAAGAAAGTTTCGATCCGTTCTTTGATCTTAGACACTATTCTAAATTTGGTAGATAATGGATTAGTCCAACTTGTACGATCCTTCTCCTTTAAATATACATTAGATTTTTATTTGTGCAAATCTAATTCAAACCCGTCTAGACCAAAATCTTGGGGCTCTTTAAAGGTTCAGTCTCTACATTATACTTAATGTTTACTATTAGTATGCCAGACTATTTGCTTTATTATTGTTAAAAGACAATCTTCTCATATATTCTTGTGGAGAAGAAAGAAAAAAGAAAAAAAAGTGGGACAGGAATCTACCTAAGTATTACATTGATATTCATGCAACTGAAGGAACGATATTTCCACACTTGACTATATAGATCATATTTTACTCCTATAATGCACATACTCTATAAAACATTATGATATGAATATAGAGTTTACAATACATATAGTAATATTTCTGTAGACTACATTAAAATATCATTCTATAGTCTATTGTGAAATATATATAGTCGCATTTCATTAGCATTTTTTTATTGGTCTTAAAAGTTCTCTGATCTGTTTCTATAAATTACTTGGATGGATGAAATATAACATTCATGTATAAACATATTTCCAATGAGTGATTAGTGGTGGGAAAATGGATTTAAAAAAAATAGTTATCTACCCATATTATTTATTAGAAAATGGATTGGATAATGAAACTTTTAAAAACGGATCAAATGGATAAGACCATATTATCTACTTAGAAAATAGATAACTAATTAGTTTAGCTTTTACATTTGTAAAGCCTCAAATTGGGGGTTCCTCAAGTTTAGGAGACTAGCTGAAAATTCTCCCAAAAGTGATCATATTCAAGAAGTCATGTCCGTATTATCCGCCGGTAACCCATTTTTTATGGGAGAAATTCAAAAATAACCAGATTTACGAGTGGTCATTCAAAAATAGTCACAGTTTCAAAAGTCATCGAAATTTAGCCATTTTTCATGTAAAGATTAATCTGAACGAAAACACTGTTCAAAATTCGAAAAAATACTCCAGCATAATATACTGGAGTTCCAGCATAAGTATACTGGAACTCCAGTATATTATACTGGAGTTTGGAGTTCCAGTATACTTTGCTGGAACTCCAATATATTATACTGGACCGGTCTCTGTTGCAGCAAAATAATGGCTATTTTCAATGACTTGGCAAACGCTGGCTATTTTTGAATGACCAGTCCAAAAACTGGCTAGCTTGTGTTGTTTTGACATTTTTTATCTATATTAAATATGAATCGGATCGGATAATTTATCCGTTTTTTACATTACTCATCCTTATCCGACCCCACCCGCCCGTTTGCCAGCCCCAGCAGCGATACGCGTAAATGGATGTGATCAAAGCTTGGAGTTGGAAATCTCAAATATTGACACGTTTTTCCCGTGCTAGCCTGCTTGGCTGTCCATATATACTAGGTTGTGATGGCCTGTGCCAGCACAGGCCCAATATTATAAAAGTTGAAAATACTACTTTTGATTAGCATTGTGTGTGTATATATATATATATATATATATATAGACACACACACACACGATATATCACATACTAATTGCTAGATATCATTTACATACATTTTGGATTAAAATATCCACTCATGGATATTACATGGTTGCTAAATGATACATCGTTTACATCCACGAGAACATCTAACTATTAGATGCTAAAGTTTGTCATTTTTCATACATGTAGGAGTACTATTTACATATTGGCAAAAAGTGATTCATTTTTTGCGTTGTGTCTCGTGTCCTCCTTAGCAATCTTTGACCAAAAAGACCACCTGCAAAATCGTGAAGTAATGATTAAATGTTAATCCATATATTAGACTAAGCGCAAACTTGTCTTAGTGGTATAGTTCTTGTCAATTACATAATAAGAAAAACATTAGATGTCTTAAATTGGACAATTTAAATTTTTTATAATGGAACTGCAGATTTTATTTGTCAATTACACACCTTTTCAAATATTGTCTATCTTTGTGCATATGGTTAATTGTGCCTGAACTTTAATCAACTAAGATCAAAGAGTAATAATAATAATAACTCTGTCAAAGAAGCCAGAAAGAAAATAGCCATTGAAGTTGGCTGTAACATAGCTTTCAATCATAATCAAAGTAATGACTGAAGAACAAAGAGCAGGACTTTGAAGTTTTCAAGGTAGAAGAAAGAAAGGGACCAAATAGTTCTTCGTGTACACTTTTGGTTATTTAAAATATTAAACATGTTCGACCTTAACTTTAGTAGGTCTTTTCATTTTACAGTCATATCTCTTTGGCTAACTTGTTCTCTGTGTTGTTTTTTAATTTGGCTGCTTCGGATTTTAAAGGTGCGAAGTACCAGTATAATGCTTCAAAAATAATACAATTTGAAGAATCAAAAGCACATAGCAACTTATAAAATTATTGTGGTAAACTTTAGATAGCACTTATGTGTTTACCTTAACAGAATAAACCACGGATACTGGCACATAGAAGAACCAGAACTTGAGGTGTCTTTGAGGTTCAAAAAGAATGTGCGAGTTATTGAGAATGCATATGCAACATCTTATGTGAAACAAAATTAAGAGTAAAAGTAAAACTTAATTTTATCCAAGAAACTTTCAAGGCTCAAACCAGTCTCTTAAGCTGCCCAATAAGTTGGTAATCACCGAGGAAGGTATCATACCCAATAAGACAGATACATTGGATTTTGGGAAAATCTCAAAAAATTATTGTAGATTATGCTTGTAACTGACATACCTCTTTAAGACGCTATTTGTGCTCTTGCCGTATAAGGAAACACATTCACATGTTTTCACATATGTTCAATTGACCAGCCATTCTGTCAAGCATACATGAGCTTCATATGTGACATGTAATTCAAATCCAGTCATACTGCTATCCACTATCTATCCTGTAATGATAATCGAATTCGATATGAAATAAGTAATACTGTCTTCCTTAATAATCATAATTATAACCAAATCAAATGTTCAAAATAAAAACACAGAAGAGGTATTAAGCATGAGAACAATTCACTTAACAGATTACACAACTAAAAAACACCCTGTCAAAAGCTTGGATAGAATTTTTCATGAATAATTATGAGGAACCCGAAAATTGGTAAGATCTCAGCAAGCACTGGTCCAAGCTTTGAGGCACAAGTTTGTATATTCAAACTAAATGTTCAGGTGATGTTAAATCTATTTCATATACCTAATTTTCTTATATTCTCACCATTCTCCTACACAGTCGGGCAAATAAATAATGAATATTGTAGAATACTTATACTGCGTAGATTTCTCAAGAACTCAATGCAGAGCAAATTCTGTAAGCTTTTAATCAAGTGTCAATGTGTTCTTTGAAGCCTAAACCAACTATGGAGATACAATCAGTTTAATAATATAAATCCACCTAAATTGCTCAGAATGAGAACAATATTATAACTTTGAAGAACAAATCTCATTCTTAAGCAAATATCTGCCTTTTGTTCTGAATTCAAATGATATGATAGTAAACATAAAGAACAGATACTACACTCCACAATTTGCTTCTTGTTGAATAGTCTTGAGTTAACATTTGATTTCTTGTTGCAGGTTGTATTTGCAACTTTGTCAGTGTCTAATTAAGTGCATGATATTCTTAATTTTGAGACTTCTCACTTGAAAATACTTATCAATCACCTAATCCTATTTGGCAACATTATCATTATTCATTGCCGTATGGATATTAGCAGCCAATACACGCATTCTCAGAAATTACTGTTTTTCTTAAATTTTCTGTTCGTTAATACTTTAGTACTGAAGTCTTTAACGTGATTGTTAGTTCATGCATAAAGTTGGCATTATTTTCTATATGGCCTTCTTAATATTTCCTAGGCAAAATAGTTGACGTAGTCATATTGCTGTGCAGGGTATACTTACATCCCCTTCTTTTTCCCTTTCTTTTACCTGAGGCAGCTCCACACTGCATATATTGAAAATAGTTCATGGCTTCTACTGTATCAGGGCCTTGAACATAACTTTCGAGGAATTTTATTCACAAAGCTTCTGATATTGTCCGATTTGGTGCCATTAACATATTTATAGCTTATACACACTATTTATCTACCTAAATTCAGATAATTTAAGATTACAAAAGGTAACTCCAAACTACATCTCAGTATTACCCATGTAAACTTCCACCCATTACTATAATTGAAAGAATTATATCTCAAAATAGCCAATCAGCGGTCTGAAAACTCCAAACATGCTTACACCTTGGACAAATCACTCTGAGCGTTTACTTGGTTCGGATAGTCAAGAAGACGAAGTAGGAAACTGGAGGATAATAATACCAATACTATCAGATAAACTACAATTAAAAACTAAGAATTAATTACCACATGAAAACCCAAAAAAACTAAAATAACAAAACATTTGAGCAAAAGAGTGAGAATAAAAAAAAATTCAGAGGAATCTGAAATTGTTACCTTTCTCAAAATTGAAGCTTCAATTTGTTTTTTCCAAAATGGAGCTTACTCCGGATGCTACCAGCAGGAGAAATTCATTCCCTGAAAATCTAACTAAATGGAGTGTAAGACTTGATTTTCCTCCTACTGTGATTAAGAGCTATGGAGGGAATGAAAGAAAAAACACACACAACTATAAACAAATTGAAGCCAACTACCCACATCCATAAAAGAACCCAGGAACAATGAAATCCATGATAGGAGGAAAAGAAGCCAGAGCGAAAGCAATTATCTTGTACAAAATTGCGAAAGAATCTAAGAAAATACAAGTGGATGTAGTAAGTAAAGGAGAGAGACGGAGAAGACTATAGAGAAGGGGGGACGTAAGTATACCCTGACAGGGATTAAGGCCACGTTATGACAGTGGCTAGCAGATTGCTAGACACGTAAGTACCCCGAAATGCTAAGAGATTAAATGGCCAAAATACCCTCAGCTATGAATGTAATGACTAAAAACAGACACGTCGAAACTCTTTAAGCATGATGTAGTATAACATAAAAGGCGTCACAATGGTGGGCATTCTGAACCTAGATTTCTTCTCGAGACACATTACAAATGCCTCCATTATGAAGGCATAGTTTAGTGGAGACATCAACTGACATAACTCGTAGGGTGCTTGCTTATAGATCATGTCTAAGGTTTCTAATTCTTCAGTATATATCTTCCCTGTAACCAAAGAGGGAAACTAAGATAAACGCCAGAATCATTTAACATGCTTGAAATGCATCAAAAGACATACCTCTGCCCAAGGTAAAACCAATTGTTAGTTGACTTCGAGAAGTAGTGGGTCATCTCCATTGTGAGCAGGGAGAACTTTTGATACTGTCAAGTATAGTCAACAACAGTCATACCATCTTAGCTTTATTGGCCGATGAAGATTACCACTATAATCATAACACAGACACTTAACAGCCAAGAGATTGTTAGAAAGAAAAATGACCTCCTATAATAGGTATAGTGTCACTGAAGAGAGAACTTGTGAATGTATCTAGATCTTTATTGGCAGTTTTTCTAGTTCTTGCTTCTCGCTTTATTGGGTCTCTGGATTGTATTCAAAATTTTAAATCTTGAATCATTGAACCACATGATATTATCACGCTTGAGGCCTTGTTCTATCAATGGTTCATCCCACAGTATACACTTACACATATGATATATTAATCCAGCCACGAAAGAGAAAGAAAGAACTTAAATAGGTGAGAAAACTCACCTTGAAGCCTTGTTCATACACCTCAGGTAATTGTAGGCATCACAACTGAAAATGCTATAATATTAGACATATTTGTCGTCCTCGTACAGTCTCTAAGATCTGGGAACCTAAACATCCGTGAGAAATATAACTTAAGAGATAAACTATAGAGCATTCAGAAAAAAAATAATATTAATCAATTTCGAAATAAGAAAGAATCAATGTATCATCTGTTGACAGAATGCAAGTTTGCAATTAAAACTACCATAGATGGGGAAAGTACTATAAAGAAGAAATAAAGAGATGTGAACTTTATGTCGTAGCCTTCTTATGTTCAGCGTTGCGAGATAAAAGAATCTGCCGGCTTTATCAAATGGCAAATCATTGATAACTAAGCTTGAACAAGCACCCAGAAAATTAGTCGGAATGTTTATTGGTTCAAAAAATTTTAAAACAGATTTAAAGCAACCAAAAATATTATCACCTAAAGAGTATATAAAGGCCAGCTACTAATGCTCTCTGTGTGTCTATGAATAACATATTCCTATTTCCTAATATCAAACCGACAAAAATTGAGCACTTTTGGCTTTTTAAAACATGCAAACATGCTACTGAAAAAATTAATTTCTTTGAATAACATATTAGTTGAAATGTCAAAGTAGTAAATACAAATTTCAGTGATTTCACAAAATAAAATAAATCCAACCAAAAAAAGTTCGAATTTGATTGCTATATCAACCTTTAAACAAAAGGCATAGAAGAGTCCTCAACTTTGTTCCTCTTCCACATGTTTTATCACTTTCTTCCAATTTTTGGTCAGATCTAGGCATGGATCAATAGAGGTGAAATTTTTCAGTAGGGTTTACCTAAAAATGGCCGAGAAAACTCCAGCACTATAAACTTCAAATTATTTATCAATAATATCAAGAAGCGAAACCCTAAGATTATTCACTAATAAGCAAACAAACAGAAGATCACCATTTATCGGAACTACAATCGTTGGGATCGTCAAATCCATGCACTGGTGAATTCGTGCTAGCAAAAGAAATCGAGGAAAGCATTGAGGGATTCTGGATAAAGACGTTGAAAACAGATGGATTAGCTAATTAAGTTCGAGCATGGCGATGAAGAAAGAGAGGAGTGGACCACGAAGAAGGGAGATGAACCAGAGCAACGGTGGCCAAATGATACGTGGCTACTTAGGTTATCTGAAAAGACAACAATATCCTTAACTTTTCCTTAAAGGACTTTAAGCACACATGTCGAAACACTAGCTTTTCTAATATATATAAAAAAAAAATACTTGTGCCCGTTCCCATTATTTTCTGAAATAGATAGCACATAGAAGGGCAATTACATATTTCATCATGTTTATGCTATTGGCATTTAATGGATACAGCATTCAGTTTACTGGAAACAATATTAAGGAGTACTTTCTATGGTGGCAGAGTCAGCATTTATAATTCATGAGTTCTATATTTGCCAACGGACTCATAGTTCATTTTAATTACTAAATTTATAATTAAATATTTAATTAATTTTTTAATACAAATACAGAATCTAATCAAAATTTATTGAATCCAGCCAAATCCGGAGCAATAACAATTAGCAAATGGAATGAACTTACGCCTAAAGTATCAATCATATAAGGTAGTGGACGAACTCCTAGTAGAGGGAGATCACTCGGTTAATTCACCTTTTTTTTGAAAAACTATGTAGGAGAATTGTTTTTATAAAGACTGTAGAATTGGCTAGGTGCTATAGCTAAATAATACACTTCATTTATTATAGCCATTTTTTATATTTTATAATAAAGTACAAATATATAAAATTGATCCCCAATTTTTTCCCACAACCCTATCCCTCTTCTCCTTCAACTTACTCTCCATTTCCCTCTCTCTTCGCCCTCGAAGGCTGCTGTCCGGATCCGGTGTCAGATCCAGATCCAGATGGTGATTTGCTTGGCCGGCGTTAAAACAAGTTTTCCGAACAGAACGAAATCTGTGAAACCTTAGCCGATTGATTGGATATAAGAGCCTTTTTTTTACAAATGCAATAAGCCATGATAGATCTGCAGGCATCAAATGCTATTTGAGTACTCAACGCCCAATTTCTTTTTGTTGAAGCTTTTTCTTTTCAGTTGAAAATGAAAGAGTTTTAATATCCAGATCCGGCGTTAGATCCAGACGATGGAGGCTGGTGATGTGTGGAGAGAACGGGGTGGTGATTTGTTTGGCCGGAAGACGTTATCTCCGGGAACTTTTTCTCTTATTTGCTATTGAGTCACATATAGGGGTGCCAAACGGGCGGGTCGGATCGGATATAGAACGGATAAAAAGCGGTTAATGAAAAATCGGATAAATTCTCCGACCCGACCCATATGTGATACGGATAAAAAACGGGTTAACCGGCGAATAATATAGGTAACCAAGTTATCCATGACTTCATCAATATGATCACTTTTGGGAGAATTTCTAATTTATTAAACTTAAGGGACTTCCAATTTGAAGCTTTACACATATAAAAGTTAAACTCATTAGATATTCATTGGTTATATATTTTATAAATGAATAATATTGTTCTTATCTATATTTGACCCGTTTTTAAATAGTTCATTATTCAACCTATTTTTTAGTGAATAATATGGGTGGTTAACTGTTTTCTTTTAATCATTTTGCCGCCCCTAGTCACATACATTGATAGAAATATTTTGTACAAATATATTGTATTCTGTACAAATATACTCAAATTTGAGTGTATTATGTATTTTTCAATGCAAATACAATTAATTTTCTTATATTTTTGAATGTATTTATCTGTTCTGAAGGTTATTGTTTCTGGCATATCTCCGTATTTTTTGAATTTTTGTTGTTCGAATACAACCGAATTAAATATAGTGTAAAAGTAGCTACAGATGAATACAGTAAATTAAATACAACCGAATATCATTGTTTTGTAATTTTTTGTTGTTTGAATACAGTTGAATTGAATACAATATAAAATTGTTGAGAATGAATATTACCAAATTGAATACAATGTATACAACCGAACTGAATAGAGTACTGGTATACACCCTATTTCTTGATTTTTTATTGTTCGAATATAACAGAATTCAATACAGTGAAATTGAATACAATATAAATATATAAACACAAATATATCCTAATTGAATATAGTGTATACAATCGAATTGAATACAACAACATAAATTGCATGACGAGCAATTAGTAGTTACGGAATATAATTAACTAAATTATAGTTATGCCCAGCAATAAGGCATCAAACAATAGTTATTTCCGAAAATTCTCCGTACTTTCTTTTGATGCTCTCATCAGGAGATTCGCAAATAGCTTTTAATTTTTGATCATCTGTACTTATCACACGGCACCTTCTCTAATATTCATGCACTCGACCCTTTCATTTTTAGATACAATTATTCTGCGCATTTCATAAATTATGAATTTTAGAACTTCGTAGTTCTACTTTACATATTATCAAGATACAAATATTAGTCACAATTTCGCTCGGCATTTATTTGCTAGAACGTGATAACGCCACAAAAACGTTTCCACTTTTCAGAATTTGCTTTTTGGCACGCCCAATCAAGCTAGTTTAAATTCAAGGACAAAGTTTCCACAAAGTTTTTGTGGTAGAATAAAAATATTATTCCCTCCGGTGCATTTTAAGTGATTTTTTCGCTCTTTATACATACATTAAAAAATTTATCTTTTAGCATTAATTAACAATAAAATTGACAATATTAATCTTAATTTGCTCATTTGAAATATAACAAACTACTCCTAGGCTCTTTACTTTAAGGGCAGATGTTAAAAGAAAAAGTTAATTTCTTCTTGATATCTGAAAAAATTAAATATTATAGACCATAAAAAAATAAACGCCAAAAAATCACTTAAAGTAGAACGGAGGGAGTATTGTTCTATAATGAAAAAGACTTCTTCGGAACATCCGCATTACTTTTTAGAAGCACAACAAACCAAAGTAAAGGGTGATAATCCTTTATACTATACTTTATGACTAAAAAATCGTTCTAAAGAGGATTTTTCATAAATCACTATTGTTTAGTGGTTATTAACTTTCTATAACTACCATATATATAATTACTTTTTATAGCTACTATTTAGTTGTTATGCGATTGTATTGGATGTATTCGTGCTACTATATTCATGAATACTATAGCGGAATTCGCCTAAAAAATAGAGGAGCCCAACTGTGCGACTGTATTCATTATATTCGCTTTACTGTATTCATGAATACAATTAGTAGAATTCGCCTAAAAATAGGGAGTCTGGCTGTTTAATAACGGAAAGATGATCAATTAGCGTGTACCACTCCTAATTTAACTCAACAAAATCAATTCTACATAAATTTCGCTGCTACTGTGATGTATTCCATGTATTTACGCGACTGTATTTATAAATACAGTGAGGTAATCAAGAAATAGGATCTATACCGTTCTATTCATTTCGACTGTATACATGGTATTCAATTCACATATATTCATTATTCATTATTATACATTGTATTCAATTCGAATGTATTCAACCAACAAAAAATTACAAAACACTGTGATATTTGGTTGTATTAAAAAAATACAGACCTTCGGGATACATAAATACATGCAAAAATAGTGACCGGATGTCGACTTATGTGTAAACGATCCTGAAATAGAGCTTTGATGATTTCAATAGCTCCCTATGGTGATTTTGAAATTAGGAGCGTGTCCGAAAAATTATTTGGAAGCTCGTAACTAAATTAGGCTTGAAATGGCTAAAATAGAAATTTAGGTTTGGAAGTTTGACCGGGGGAGTTGACTTTTTGATATCGGGGCCGGAATCTGATTCTGAAAATTTGAAGACCTCCAATATGTTATTTATGACTTGTGTGCAAAATTGGAGGTCAATTGGTCTTGATTTAATAGGTTTCGGCATTGAAGGTAGAAGTTAAAAATTGTTAGTTTTTTATTAGGCTTGAATTGGGGTGTGATTCATGTTTCAGTGTTGTTCAATATAAATTGAGGCATCGACTAAGTTTGTGTCATATTATGGGACTTGTTAGTATACTTGGTTGGGGTCTCATGGGCTCGGATGAGTTTTGGAGGAGTTTTTGGAAGAGTTTGGTGTTTTGAGCATAAGCATTATCCAAAGGGCCATTTTTAGTTCTAGAGATCGAAATTCGATTTCGAGACTTCCAGGATTTTGATAATAAATTATAGGAGTGATCTGGAAAGTTTGGTCTAATTTCATCAAGTCGCGATTGACGTTTTAGCACGAAACATGAGTTAATTGTTTAACGAGCAAAATTGGTATCGCATTAAGCAAATGAGCTCTGAATTGAGTTTTGATTGAACGACTAGGTTCGTATTATTATTTGTGACTCATAGGAACAAAAGTCGTCGAATTCCGAGTTCGTATGATGGAGTTAGAGCCTTTTTAGTAAAAAAATAATTGTTGGTGCAAGCAAGTTCTAGTGTGGACTTTTAGTGACGGAAAATGGGCTTTTAGTGACGGATGGGTAGAAACTTAAGGATCAAAAATGGTCATTTCCTTCATTTCGTTTTGGATTTTTGGAGCACGGCTCTTGGGCGATTTTGAGGATTTCTTCACGACTTCGACTTGGGTAAGTGTCCTATATCCAAAAGTGATTATATTTCATAAATTCATGGTTAGATTCATCATTTATTTCGGATTTAAATGGAAGAAATTAAGATTTTTGCAAAACTTTTCAAGAACGAAAATTTTAGAATTGGAGGTCGAGTTTTTATCGGAATTTGATAAAATTGGTATGGTTGGACTCGTAATTGAATGAGTTGTTGAATTTTGTGAGTTTCGTCAGATTCCGAGACGTGGGCCTCACGGGCGATTTTTGAGTTAAATTTTTGATTTTGTTGGAAAATTACTATTTTCATATTGAATTAATTCCTATAATTAGCATTGACTGAATTGAATTAACTGTGGCTGGATTTGAGGCATTCGGAGTCTGATTCGCGAGGCAAAGGCATAGCATAATAAAAAAATTACATGGTTCGAGGTAAGTAAAAGTTCTAAATTTGGTCATATAGGTACGAAACCCTAGATTATGTGTTATATGATTGATTTTGAGGTGATACATATACTAGGTGACAGGCGTGTGTAGTTGAATAATTTGTTGTTATATGTACATTCTCAATGTAAGTAGAGAAATTGAACCACAAATCATGTTTAGATTATGTGTTGGCATTGTAGGGACCCACAAAGGTCGTGTACATATTGAACTATCTACTTGACTGTTGTTTTGTACTCAGTCACAATTTACTTATTTATTTTATCTCAGTCTCTATTGTTCATTATTGATGCATCATATCATTGTTGTTTGGGTTGATTTCATGATTATTAAGAGCCCGAGAAACTAGAGAGATTTATGACTGAGTGAGGCTGACGGCCTGATTGTGAGATATTATATTATAGCACGTGAGTTGTCCGTGCGGATCCATATATTATATTA